GGGGGTCGCAGCAAAGGTAGGTCTACGTGCTTCGTGGGGGAGGGGGTCGCCGCGAAGGTAGGTCTACGTGCTTCGTGGGGGGAGGGGGTCGTGGTGAAGGTAGGTCTAGGTCTACATGCGTCGTGGGGGGAGGGGGGCAGATGTATGCTCGCGGTGAAGGTAAGTGACTCATGCGGAGGGGGGGGCAGGACCTTGTCAGGAACAAAATAAGTCTTAGCATTACCTTTTTCGCTTGGGCCGTTGAAACATTGTAAAAGTTCTGAATGAAAAATCCCGCCCGATTTTATTTGTTGGCCCGGTGTCGGGCGACCAGCCTCGCACGGTTAACGACGACGGAGCCGGCGTCTACGCGAGGTCCCGGTGTCGGGCGACCAGCCTCGTGCGGTCGACGACTTCGCGGCAGCTTATCGTGTTGAGCCGCTCCGTCGCCGGCTTAAAGGTCTGCTGCAGCGACAGCGTTGAGCGGTAGAATTTCTGCGCCTTCTGTAGCTCCCCCTGGAGGATCGGAGAGGACAGTAAACGAATCGGTATTAAATCATATTATCACTAATGTATAAATATATATATATACATACATATATATATATATATACATATATTATATATATATCTATATGTAATAGATAGATTAAAGAAAATGGTGGCATAAAATTCCTGTTGTGACATAAGTACTAACTAAGTCTAACTAACACAAACAATTCCCCATAGACAGTTAACAAAAGCATCATAAAGTTGCAAGAGCGACAAAAATCCTTACCAATTCCCTCGTAACAAAAAAAAACCTCGCGTAGACGCCGGCTCCGTCGTCGTTAACCGCGCGAGGCTGGTCGCCCGACACCGGGACCTCGCGTAGACGCCGGCTCCGTCGTCGTTAACCGCGCGAGGCTAGTCGCCCGACACCGGGACCTCGCGTAGACGCCGGCTCTGTCGTCGTCGACCGAGCGAGGCTGGTCGCCCGACACCGGGACCTCGCGTAGATGCCGGCTCCGTCGTCGTCGATGCCGTAGACTCGATGTAGAAACTTCGCGCAAACGTGCCGGATTTCTTTACCACATGATTTTTCTTGGCGGCGTGAGTTTGCGTTTCAACGCCGCATTCGAATCGACGACATCTAGTTTTTCTTGTTTGGAAGACGGATTCTGAAAGCGGGCACTCGAGTTCTGAAATCGGGGAGGGAGTCGGGCCCCTTGTCCGAGACGTCATGAGTCATTAACTTTTCCAGTACATTTCACTTCAGTTGTGAGATTTTCTACTTGTCATGATGTAATTCATCACGTTTCTGATCAACGGGCCCCTGGGTCCTTTCTTGCAGGCATCTGGGAAATGGATTCTGATATCAAGAGTTCAAATTCTGAAATCGGGATCCTTTCTCACCTGTATCCAGAAAAGAGATTCTAATATGAAGAGTTCAAATTCTGAACTCAGGATATCATTTCTTGCCTCTTATCAGAAAAATAGATTCTGATATGAACAGTTCACGCTAAATCGGGGGTCATTTCTTGCCCATATCTGCAGCCAGTTTACGCGTTGTTTCTGTGTGTGATTTCTGGCACATAACTTGCAACTACACGAGACTCGTGTCTATAATTACTGGTTGCCATTGAAACTATAGTTATAGGGACTTGATATTTCCTGTAAAGTATGTTCATTTGTATGAAATTCTTTTCGTACATCTTTTTCTGCTGTTGAACAAATCCGTTACAAAGTAATGTGTAGGGTGCAAGAGGGGTTGATAATTTGTTACATAGAAAACCGTAATACATTTCTAGTATGCAAGCGCAGTAACAAAAAACAATGTCCGTGTTTTCCAATTTGGTTTTTATAACAATGTATCTCGTGACTTTATTAATGGTTTTTAATAATTAATATGCCTTGTACGCATGCATAACCGGACAAATGAGCAGTAATTGCTGTGCACACTGTGCTATATATCTAGTAGAGTAGAGTATACCAAAGACAATATTAATTGTTTACGTCTGTTCCCATCAATCATTCTAATTGCAAGTGACAGGTATTTGGTAGATTCATACAGCAGTGTTAGCTAAGATCTGTAAAGTCCAGTAACAGTATAGTGGGGTTTATCTGTTCTTCGATGAACATCGGATGCAGTTGAGTACAGTATTACTTTATCATTTTAAATGTTTGCAGTTGTAAGTTCTCGTTCCGTGTGTTTTGTGTGTTTTTGTGCACCATTGTGCCTTTATACGTCCTCCGTACTCGATTCGTTTGTTATCGAGTGAGACAATACACATTAATGCATTGCTACTTCTGTGGAAACCCTCAAATTTTCAAGTAACAGAGGGTTTACATGTTTTGGAGGGTTTTCTTCAAGTGGTAGGCGCTTCAATATCAGTTCTTATAGCTGTTATTCGACGTGCGAATTTTATTACCCTTTTTGTACTTTTAAGTAACTTTATAACAGGTCACGATCGACATGTACTGTGCACGGCTTGTTCTGTGACACTGTGCGGCAAGCATACTGACACCACATCGGTGTTCTCTTGTTGTTCGACGTACGTGCTCAAATTTTCTAGGGCTGCGTGAATGGCCATGGACTGAGTGATACATACCTTATGCCATGTACGTCGTCACTCGCCAGGTTAAGATATAATATTCAATGTGTACGCAACCCAACCTGTGAAATAACCTATGCAGCTTTAGTAGCTGCAGTCTTTGCGGTTTAGCAATCAGGCAGCAGAGCATTTATAACATTAAGTTTTTCTACCATTAGAAGTGCATATAACTACTTAAAGTGGGATTCTTTGCTATGCAAGTAGGTGAGTTTTATTGTTGCTCATTGGACATAAGGGGCCACGTGGTAATAATGGCTGCTCATCCACCGTTTATGACATGGTTCCTGGCTTAACGAGTGTGACCAATGCCGTCACATGCTTTGATGCATCGAATTTCTTTGTATTGTTGTGCTGTGTTTGCGACTGTGGTGCAGAACTAAAGCAATATGCAGTGTCGAGTCCTAGTAGTCAGGGCACATCAGCGTGGCCATTAAACCTGCCAAGATTCACGTGTAGCTAGTGATGAGATATTGTTAACCTGCTTTAGAAGGTTAGCATGGCTCATAGGGTCTATGTCCCCCAGGGTACTGCCGGAATGTACCCTTGGTACGGTCCGGTATACCGGAACGTACCCTGGTAACTATCTGATATGGTTAGGGTTAGGGTTAGGGTTAGGGAGTAGGCGTAGGCGAAGGCGACTCCCTAGACTAGTTAGTGGAGTAGGCGAGGTACGGTCCGGCATATTAGATAGTACCAGGGTACGTTCCGGCAGTACCCTGGGAGACATAGACCCTCTCAGCGTTAGCATGGCAGCAGGCCGGCTGCGTGTGAGGCAGCAGTCATGAGGAAGGCTCTTGACGCTTAATGCAGAAAGCGATTGTGATACCGATTTTTTTACAAATGAATATAAATCAGTTGTGATTAGAGTTGACAGTAAAACATGTATTTTATTCCATTATTCGATTCCACTGCGTGTAATTATGAAAGTACAAAGTTTTACTTGTTTACTAACATTAATAAATACATCTCTCTGCAAACCGTTAGAAACAGTAGCAAATGTGCACTGTATAAAAGAAGCTGGAGCATAAACAACTTTGATACAAGATAAATTATGAGGTACTTTGTAACCAATTTCACTACATTGCTACATACACGTGTCTCGGCCATTACTACTGAATTTTGTGATGTCATTATGAAAACAGTTGAGCATGCTTACCATCGTGGTATGTATCATCATTTCAAGCACCGGGAAAAAAAGCTGCAGGTGATCGATACCAATTAAAAATACCTTCCACCACTCGCTCTACAAAAACATCACACAAATATCTGTCATTGTCTTTTGACACCTGACAAACATCTACCAATGATTCCAAGTACACGCACAAGCACCTCATCTATTGCACTCAAGATCCCACGCTTGTGATTAGTGTCCGCCTTTACCGCACCAATACCAACTACTCTAGCCGTATTTCCGCAAGTGAGAACTAGAAGGTATACAGGCTGTCTTGAACGATGGCGGGAACTCTGGATCTCACGTAGACCAATCACGCAGTTGAGGGATGTCTTTGTAGAGTTCAAGAGCTTCTGGGTTAGCAAGCGCGCCCCTGTTGTTAACCTCCACTCCGGAAATGATCTGCTTCACGGCCACCTCCACCTTTTTGGCATTGGTCGTATACTACAAGGAGACACATTCAGTTGCCGTTAGATCAGAGGCGAGCAGGTTTTACAGCTTTGAGCGGGCATTCTCAGCATTAGTATTCTATTCCATGGTGGGTCATCCTGAGTAGTCTATCACTCTACTGCATGCTTTAGTTATCCTCAGTATACTATTACACTATACTATGTTTTGGTCACCCTCAGTAGCCTGTTACACTATACTATGCATTGGTCACCCTCATGATCCGTAGATTTTTACTCTACTACATTCTCCAGTCTCTTACATCATCACTTTATATCTCTCGCTGACTCACAATGGCACACAATCACTCTATCTTTTTTACGACATCCTTCGCTGGGCGTGATATCATGAGCGGTGATGACTCACCGGCACATCGGCGATTGGCAGGACAACGGCAGGCACGTGCCGGGGCGACAGCAGCCGGCATATGCGCTCCTTCACTTGCTTCACGAGGGAAGCGGTCAGCGTGTGTCCACTCTTCATCTTGAGGAACAGAACTACGCGCTCTTCTTGGTTGCTGCGGTTCAGCTGTCCGACGCAGAGCGAATCGTCAATCTGCGAGAATTCTTCAACTGCAACATGCACTGTGTGTCTTAGTGCAACGTCTTGATACAATGATACGCAGCATTTCAATGTAATGCCTCGACATGCCTCGTACATGTCAACCCTAACCCTTTGACACATCCCCGTGCTAGGGTACATAAGACGATTTCAAAGATAGGTGTTACCGCAAGGTCCCGATCCATACTATGGTCTGCCCCTCTCACTCCCCTTTCTCTCTCTCTCTCGATGTGTCTCCATCCCTCCCTCTCACTCCCACTCTCTCTCGCCACTCCCTTTCCCTCCATCTCTCTCTCTCTCTCTCCCTCTCTCTCGATGTGTGTGTGACTCTGTCTCTGTCTCTGTCTCG